TCTGGGTGCTCTTAACAAGACCTGTTTTTAAATTCAAGCTTTCAGGATAGTATCACCTAGTGAGTGACATCAGAGGGCAGAGACAGGAGGCTGGCTATGAACACAGACCTTTGTGTGCTGAGGTTTCAGGGCTCATTTTTACTATTTTACCTCATTGCTGTGAAACAAGATTTTTACAGTGTCCTCAGTGTAATATGAGTGTTTGTTGAGTGCGCACTAAGTATTGACGGCTACGTTAAGTGTTGACCAGGGATTATTGTTTCCACAGAAGCTCTACAAGGAAAGCGTGAACATTAGCTCTGGAAGAAAGGAGCCAAGCTGAAGAGTGAATTGACTTGAGGAGTCTTCCAGCAGCTGTTCTTTCTGTTGGGCCCGACTTTCATTTAGCGAGCCTTTGAATGTGTCCTGTGGTGAAGAAATCTGTCTCTGGGAGCAGTTTTGATTTTTTTGGAGAGAGCCGTAATTGGTAGGCACAGAGTGTAGGGGATTAGGCTGAGAAATGCCATGTTTGGGCAAAGCACAGGTGCTGGCGTAGTCAGAGTGTAACTTCCGCAGTCTCCTGTGCTGGTATGCCGGGCCCTCGGGGGTTCTTTAAGGCTGGCTAGTGACATTTTTAGAATAGCGTATTTGAAATGTGACAGGAACTTAGATCGTTCAGTCACAACCCTTCACTGAAAGAGTCTGTGAATTAGGGAAGATCACGCATCCAGGGTCAGAACGGAAAACAGCTCCGAGCCCCCAGATCCCAATCCACGGCTCTGGAGTAGCTTTGTGTGGGTTCCAGTCCAGGCTGTGCTTGTGCCTCTCACCACGTTCTTCTTGGTCATCCTCTGAGGGAACATAACACGGGAGAGGAGAGTAGGAAGTTCTCCCTCCCTGTTCTCTCTCTGTCTCTCTCTCATAATCTCCAAAGGGCTGTGATTGCACCGTGCACACTACCATTCTCCCCTTGTGCAGTTCTTCAAAACACCCTCAAAGCCTGTGACTGACACAGCGTGATTGGCACATTTACAAACGTCACAGTGGTAGATCTTACACTCACTGCTCTTACCACACAGGAAAATAACAACAGCAAGGGGAGCAAGGAGAAAGCTCTCGGAGGTGAGGGATAGATTTTCTGTATTGATTGTGATGACAGTGACCAGAGTGTGGACTGTGTTCAAGTTGTGTACATCATTGTATCTTTGTGTTTTAATCATACGAAAGCAAATTAGGTAAAGAAAAGGCATCTTATGTTCTCAACAGATATGCTCACCACCCCCGGAAAACAGACGAGGGAACCTCACAGAGAGTGAGTTAACCCAGTAACCTCAGGCTAGATTGGCATCACATTCTTTTTCCGTCCAGAAGCAACATAAAATCTTTGAAAACCAGTGAAGCCGTGCTTGTGTCTGAATCCTCACTGAGGTCTGAAAGGCAGGTATTACTCTAGTCACATTTCAGATGGAAAAGCAGAGGCTTGAGAGAGGAAACAGCCTAACGAGGAGAGGAGAAGTCATCTTTCAGATCTCTTTCTTTGTCACGTATAGATTCCAGTCAGTTCTCAAGTGCAGGGAAGTGTAGAAGACGAGACAGGACTTCAGGAGCATCTGACTTCAAGTCTGGGCTCCAACTTTTCTTTCTTTTTTAAACTGTGTGACTTGGGAAGTTTATATAACTAACTTTGTTTTCTACTTGGAAAAATGGCCTTCTTAGTTGCTCTTAGTTATGTGAGTAAGGTATTGTCCTAGTAGAGGATCACAGTAAGTCCCCAGTAAGAGCTACTTTTAAATGTAGTATAAACTACCCAACTCACAGATTTCTCAAACTTTTACCTTCGTTCCTTAGCTCAGTCCAGTGTGTCCCACAGCACACCACGACTCCGCTTACTTCACCTGTACTTGTGACAGATATTGTCATTCATTCAATTTCCCATTTTTTCCTAGGCACTTTTTGTTGCTTTTTGACTTTAGATATTTCCTCAGAAGACACACTGAAAACACCAGAGTCAGCTTTCAATACAATAGGAGCTGTTGGACAAGCATCTTAATTTATCGGTTGGCTAGGCAAGTCTCCAGGGCATATTTTAAAGGAAAGTCAAATACCCATTATCCATAGCAGTGACCTGGGTAATAACTACATGGAATATTCTGCCTCCTTTGTCACTCTCTTTGCTCTCTCTTCTTGTTTTCTAGAACCACATCTGACTCTACTTCTCTTGAGTCTGTGTTTCAGATTGTTCTTTGCATATCCAAATTAAGATACAAGGTATTTTGTATGTAAGATAGTGCCTCATGTTTATGCGATTCTCATGTGCTTGTAAATTTTGCTGAAGATCACAGCTGAAGACTACCAGTCACACAAAGCTAGATTCACTAACGTGGTAACAGAGGAGAACATATCAAAGGATTCAGTGTTTCAAAAGGAGACAGGTGCTTGTATTTATAGTGTGTGGGTTCTTATCTGTTGTTCATATGATGGTTTTAAAGGCAGAGGTTGTTCAGGGGTCACAACCTTAGAATATGTGTGTCCACACAGAGTTCAGATTGGTAAAACATGGGGCAACTGGTTTTACCAAATCTGAGCTTAGATTTGGATGCCTATTAAAATCGGGCTGCCACAGTTAATCTCCGTCTGTTTACCTGTGCTGTGTATGTATAATTACAGTGTGTTTCCCATGTTTGCATTGTTCAGGGTTTTGCTTCCCATTTTCCCATTTTTTAATTTTCCCATCACAGGAACACTTTCTTTCTTTATTAGGTACCCATGTCTCAGCTAGGTGAGAATCTCCAGATGGGGGCTGGAGACAGAGCTCAGCAGTCAAGAACACTGGCTACTTTTCCAGAGGACTGGGGTTCAGTAACCGATATCCACATATATCCCATCTGTATCTCCTGTCCCAGGGGATCAGATGTCCGCTTCTGGCCTCTGAGGGCACTGAATATATGTGGTAAGTAGACATACATGAAGGCAAAATATCCATGTGTGTATGAAAAATGAAATTCAGAGATGATAACGGATGTATAGACAAAAAGAAAGACCAATAGACATAGACATAATAGAAAGAAAGACTGGAATTTACGTTAGGGAATTGGCTTGAATGATTATGGGGGCTTGTCAATCCGAAATCTGCAGGGTGGGCTTTTAGACTAAAAGTTCAAGGAAGACTCAACATCATAGTTCAGGTCCTAAGCCTTGCATGCTGCATAAGTCCTTTCTACCCACGGGAGGTCAGTCTTTGCTCTATTCAGCCCTCATCTGATTGAGTAACTGCTTTTCTATGTACAGGGGACAGTCCGGTTTTGTTTTGTTTGTATGTTTTTAGTTTTTTTTTTCAAATTCCACTGATTTAAATATTAGTATCACTATAAAGCAGAGATAAATCTAGAAAACTGTACGTTCAAATATCTGGAGGCCGTGTCTCAGCCAAGCTCATGTAAAATATTAGTTATAACAATGTAAAATGATTTTCTCTCACCCACATGATTATTATTTTATTACTCCAATCAGAAAGATCTTGTTAAACTATTACACGATATTCATAGAAAGGACAACAAAGTTCACTTGGAATTTTTTGTTTCTGCTTTTGGCCTTGGGAATGAAGCCTATTGTAAAACTACAGGTAGGAAAAGTGCCAAGAGAGTGCACAGCTCACCTGAGGGTGTACAATGACAGAAACACCTTGCTGTCCCTGCTGTTGGACCACCCGCACTTTCACTGACCGGGCACAGTCCTTCCTGAGACCGCACAGCTGCCGTCCTTCCCAAGAGCTGTGACGTGGCTCGTCAGAGCTGCAGCACACTACTTCAGGCTCAAAATCATCCTTTTGGAGCTATTTTTAAAAGCCTTATTAATATATCTTCTTATACCTAATATATCCAAACCTCTTTTTACCACATTATTGATATATAATTGACAATAAAATATTTTACAGTACTTTAAATTATTTTTTATTGTGGCAGATACATATTACATAAATCTCACCATTTTAAGCTTTATGTGTACATTGAGTGTATTGACATTCTGTAGATATCACTACTATCTCTAGAACCTTTTCATCAGCGGTGCTCCCATACCTGGCAGGGCCCTCTGCACTATGGTAAAGAAGGCTGGAGGATCTCTCATATCTCCCAACATCACTCTATTGGACTCTATGAATATAAAAACAGTAAAAATAACACTGAACATTTTAAGATAAATTATTATGTCATTTGATTCCTAAGTCAAGACTCAGACAATATCATATATTATACATTCAAAAGATTTGAAAGTTATAGGACACAATACAAAGAAGACACAGTCAAGGATATGTAAGAGACTAAAAAATTGGAACTTCCTCCTCTCATCTGAGAAGAAGCAGGCTGCCCTACCCAGAGGACCAGTTTGCCCTCAAATAAGACAGGGTTAATCACTTAGCTCAAGCACAAAGACATCCATGTTAGCACACAGCAGGGAGAAAACAGAATTTGTAACAGGCAGAGGAAATAGATGGCAGATGTTGAACAGGAAGTAATATAACATGGTAGTAAAGCAAATGTAACCAATTATGAAATTTAATTTAAAATCTTGGCACAGCACATAGAAGAAAGTTTCTTTGATTGTATTAAAGCTTTGTGGCACGTTGTGGTGGGCAAAGGTGGAGCTTTCCCTGGAAAAAGAATGAGGCCACAGAGAGGCTGAAAAGCACTTCTCACGGGGCCTGGAACATGTTAAGCATACATGCTACATTCATAAGCATTGTTATTTAGGGCTTGGACATGCTCCTGGGGAGTGAATCATAGACTTGAAGAGAATGAGAAGACCCTTGGCCACCACACTGTTAGTTTCATGTTCTATATTTCAGAAGTCAAACAAAACAGTTAACAATAGCTTCATGACAAAGAAAATAGGAATAAAACAAAGTCATGAGTAATTTGAACATATTTCATCCAAGTCACAAACCAGGCCAGTTAGTTTAAATCACAAATCCTTCTTGCTTTATTTAGTATTATCTGTGTCTCATTTCACAGCAGAGTCTTTAAACCACATAATGTTCATTGATTATTTCACATTATGTCCACGATGAAGATAAACCATACATTAGTTCAGTATCCCATTCAGGGAGAAGCACTAGTGTGCTTACGACTGTAATTAAGCAGGTGTGATGGAATTACTACAGTAAGCCACGTAGGACGATGGGGATAGAGTGGTGAGGGTCATGTGTTTCCTCCAGCTTCAATGTCCTTGTCACAGCTGAGCTTGAGCATCGCTAGCACCCGTGTTCTGATCTGTTTGGTCTTAGCACCGTAGATGATGGGATTGATCACAGGAGGCAGGAGCAGGTAGACATCCCCCATGAGGACATGCACAATGGGGTCTAGGCTGTTTCCAAAACGGTGCACCACCGACAGGCCGATGAGCGGCACGTAGAAAGCCAGGACCACGCCAATGTGTGACACACAGGTCCCAAACGCCTTCGCTCGCTCTGACTTGGAAGGCAGTTGCAGAACTGTCCGTATAATCAGAAAATAGGACAAGGAGATGAACATGACATCTACACCCATGACCAGCAGAATGGCTGTAAGACCATAGACTACATTGGGTAACGTGTCTGTGTAGGCCAACTTCATCACATCCTGGTGGACACAGTAGGAGTGGGAGAGCACGTTGGAGTGACAGAAGGCCAGCCGCTTGATCAGCAGTGGGAGTGGGAAGAAAAATAGGGATCCCCTGACCAAAGCCACCATGCCGATTTGGACTGTCACTGTGTTGTTGAGCACAGCAGCGTGACGCAGGGGGTGGCAGATGGCCACGTAGCGGTCGAAGGCCATGGCCAGCAGGATGGTAGATTCAATTGCCGAGAGAGCATGAATGAAGAACATCTGGACAAGACAGGCATCAAAAGTAATCTCCCGGGAGTCAAACCAAAAGAGCGCGAGGATCTTGGGCATGGTGGATGTGGACAGAGCCAGATCAATAGCTGCCAGCATGCAGAGGAAAAGGTACATGGGCGCGTGCAGGCTCCTCTCTGTCCTCACGATGAAGACCACGATGCAGTTTCCGAACAACGCTACGGCATACATGGAAAGCAGGGGGAAGCCGAACCAAAAGTGAGCTTCCTCCAGTCCTGGGATACCAATGAGCACGAAGGTGGCATGGGTGAAGTTGCAGGAGCTCATTGCTGCCAAGGGGGAGGACGCAGAGGGCGGGCGCGCTGGCAGCCTGCAAGACAGGGAGAGGAGTCAGACAGTCGCTGGAACTGAGCGGTGTTCGCACTCCCTCTCCTCCCCCCTACCTCCAACTGCACCACACCCCAGCCCCTTCATAAGTCACAGGCTCTCTTTTCCACTGGAACAAGTGTGAATGCTCAAAATTCCTTTATCACTATTACTAAGATACATTTAAAATTTCAAAATAAAGCCTTGGGAAAAAAAATACTTATCTCCAAAATGTGACTCCCTCCAGATTGCCTCAGACTCTCCTGTCCCTATCTTAGTTGTCTGGATACTTTTCTCCCCTTGTTATGAAGTTACCTTATTAACTCTCTTTTCAGAAAATGCTATCCTCTCCCTCCTTTCTCCCTGTCTCTTTTCCTTTGTGACCCTTCTCTTTCACTTTCACCCTTCTTTATTTCTACCTTTTTTCCTTCACAATTCTCTCTCTCCCCCTTTCTCTTTTTATTTTTATTAATTCAAATTTCAGAAATATTTACTTGTATGACCTGTTGAGCACAATGCTATTTGTGAGACACTGGTATGAAGACGATTCATTTTGATCTTACATGGCTTGCCTTGGGGTAGGAGATGGATAAGTAACAAATACATTAGGCTAGGAAAGGAATTAATTCATTGACTTCAGGGGAATGATAAAGACAGAAGAGCCTTCCTAGAAAAGATGGCCTTTACATTTCAGTCTTGAAGCATAAGCAGAGTTAGGTACACAGAAGAGAGAATAAAGGTTCTTCCAAGGTAGGGGGACTAGAAAATAGAAACTCAAAAAGCAAAATGTAGATAGCTAAAATGAAAGCAAAAGCTAACATAAGGCACAGAGACCATTTTATAAGACAAAGCCAGAGAGCCAGAGAGAGAGAGAGAGAGAGAGAGAGAGAGACATACACACACACACAGAGACAGAGACAGAGAGACAGAGAGACACACACACACACAGACAGACAGAGACAGAGACAGAGACAGAGAGATAGAGAGAAACCAAAGGTACTAGCTCCCTCTAATCATCTTTTCACAGATGGAGGTGATAACAAGATTCATCACATCCAGCAAATCCTAGCTACCAGACACATTCCCAGTGATAGTTTTCCCCATTGTTTCTGGCCAGCAGCCATCTTTATGCCTAGAGGTCACCTCCAAAGCTTTTTCTCTTGCCCCAAAGAGAGCTTGCAGAGTGGTGTGTGTGTGTGTGTGTGTGTGTGTGTGTGTGTGTGTGTGTGTGTG